GTGTGTGTGTGGTGTGTCTGTGGCCAGCTCAGCCCACCAGGAGGCGGGGCTGGCTGGCATGTGGTGCTGGGGGATCGAACCGTGGTCCCTGATGCTTTGCTAAGCTTGTTCTAAGTAGGTGCTTTAGACCACTGAACCATCTCTCCAGCCCCGGAAAGATCATTTTGCATCTATCCTAAATAGTTAGGATAGATATACAGCTACTTTCACTTAATTCAGTGAGTAAAAGAGGTGTACTAATAGTGTTTGGACAGGATATCCTGTCTGCTTCTTGTACTATGGATAACCACTAAGAAGATAACAATGTACACTATATTGATTTTCGAAACTGTCCTATTAATCAGCTTGAAACTGTCTCATTCATATTTATTTCTCAATAAAAAAAATGCTGAAAAAAAAGCCAATGGATTAACCCACCGATGCCAGGGTAGCGCCCTCGTGACCCAAGACTCTCCACTGAGCCTCTGCAGAGTGCTGCCCTGAGCATCCAGCCCACACTGTGTGAGTTTTTGGGGACATTTGCTTAGGATCCCACATCCAAATCTATTTTGTCCTTCTTGAAACACACCTTCAATCCTTTTAAGGTGGTCTCCCCACTTTGTGAACGCTGTATGGGCCAAGTAGACAAGGTCTCCTGCCATATGACCTTACTCTGGAATTCATAGAGATCAATCCCACCTGTATAGTGACCATAACTCTGAAGATTTAAAAATTTCATTTAGCAAGTGCTCCTGTAATGTTCATGAAGTACCATCCATTTAATATTCAGATTAATTCTGTGGTTAGGTATGGTTTCCAACACTGTGCCCATGGCTGCCCAGCTTGTAAGTGTAAGGATGGAAACTCAAGCTTGGACCCTCTGGCTCCAGAATGTGCCCCTCCCACTCTACTGACTCAGCTCCTCAGCCCATCAGCCCCTCACTCACGTGCCACACACAGAGCTCGATGCCTCCATCTGAGCCAGGAGCGGCCTAATCTCAGTCCTCTGAGCCCGTTGGGTGAACATTATGAAAGGAAGGGAGTTGTTATGGGGCATCTGTGGCCTCTCCAGGGGTAAGACACAAGTCCCAGATGTTCTTCGCAGATTTTAGTTTGGCTAAAGAGGAGCCCTATCTCGGGTTGTCTGAGGGAGTTTAACCACTAGCCTCTTCTCTTGATGGCCTCATGTATTTGGGGTACAGAATATGCCATAGGTGCAATGGACTTAGGAGTGTGGGTGTGCAGCCTGCTGGGCAGCAGAAGGCCTGGTGCCCAAGAGCAGGGCACAGCGATGGCTAAGTGTGTGGGCAACTGTGTTCCTCAGTGTTCCTCAGTCTTCTGTCTCTGGAGCCAAACACCTCACACCTGTGACCTAAAGGAGTAGAGTTTACTTTGACTCATGGTTTTTAGAGTGTTCAGGCCATGGTCAGCTGGTTCCAGGGCAGAAGCATCGTGGTGGAAGGTGTGGTGGAGGGAAGGCACTCACCCCATGGGGACAGAAAGCAGACAGAGAAAGAGAGAGAGA